TATAAAATAGCCAGGTGACTAGCAGTAGATGTCCCATATTGAGCCAATCTAGCCTAGTTCAAAAGCATGTCAAAACACAACTGATCTAAGGTATTGAGTTATGTAATATATATGCAAGCCATAGAGAGGCAAACTATGTATGGCCAACAAGAAGGTTATTACCATAACTTTTTTTTTATACACAACCAAGTATGTTGTGAAAAAAAAACTTACTTCAGAAACTGGGAAGAGGATCATGAACTGAAGTCTAACTAATGATTAGTGTGCATAGACCTAGTCAGCACTGAAACCAATTTTCAGCGTTTGGTTAATTTAGGTTATGAGATGTACAACCTGTACCTTTAAGTTTACCTACTATTTCAGATTTTTCTTAGTTCTCATCAAATGTTTTCAAACAGGTTAATATGTTACTATCCTGAATAGAAATTACTGGCAACACAGTTCCCTTTGCCAAAGTATGCTACAGTAACTGTTACACCCTGCAATTTGTATATTTGATGGGATAAATTCACCAAAAAAACTTAATAAAATCTGCACCAAAAACTGAGGAAATCAATTTTGTGACCATGTTACAGATTTCAATTTTCTTCAAGATACACCATGACCTGCAATTTTAGTCAGTTCTGTCACTGTTAATTTGCAGTCTTTGCTTTTGTCTTTGGTTTTTTGCAATTTTGCCCTGTATTAGGTAACTACCTTGTTATTAGCAGATTAGATTACAGTAAGCAGGGGTTTCAACATTTTTTGAAGTGGGCATCAGACAGCAAAAGTAGATGACTGTGAAAAGTTCATTAAGGGTTAGAAGGTAATTATTTTTACCAGAGTAACTGGGGACTTGTTTTAAAGTAGCTGGCAGAACTCTGGTGGTCACCAGCTTGTTTTAAAATCCCTGAGTAAGCCTGAACCTTAGAACATTTTGAGAAAATTAGCTTCCTATTCTACCCTGCAATAAACACTGTATTTTTTATACTGTTTTCAGGATATAAACCATACATCATATCAAGGGATGAAGAACCTGTTGAGATGCAGAATGCATTTGGTGAGGTGATTTCAGTTGGAGGACTTAGGAAGGTCTTGTTTGACACAGGCAATGAAGTTGGCACTGGCATATCCAGAGAGCTTCTGTTGAAGTTGAACCTGCAACCTGATCCCAACAAGAAAAAGAAAGTTGAATTAATAGGAGGAGAGTCACGTGAGTTTGAAACCACACAAATTGAGCTCGTAGTTCGAGGACACCATCTTAGTGCTTGTGGATTGGTTGATGCCGTGGCTAAGGATACTAATCTTCTTGTGGGAATGGATGTCATTCAGCAGCTGTATGTTAAGGGTATACTATTGGTAACTAACCTATGGTATATTTTAAGAATTTCTAAAATGATGAATGCCCTTTGCAGCAAACTCCCAGTCAATATGAAGGTTGTTTATAGATGAAGATGTGTACCAGATCATTTTGGTAAACATGGGTTTTTCAATTTTTTTCTTTTTTTTGTAAGGTCTATTTGATAGAATCCTGAAGCCGTTCTTAATGTTAGAAAGCACGAAACAGGCTGCATTATGCAGGCTTACCAATGAATAAAGCTTCCACATTTTTTCTCCTGGACAGTCAGAATGCAATATATAGCTTACATTTATAATTACTTTTAATAATAATATCTTTAGGTTGTCTTTTTAACTTAGGTAGTTCTCCAAGTTCTTGGTAATTGATTATTTACAAAGGCCACAAGTTGATCTGTTTCTATACTGTTTTGGGTTTGTAGTGTATGTAGTGCATTGAGAATTTTAGAACATCTCTTTATTATTTTAAATATACTTAATTAGCTAACGTCGTCTACAGTATTTCATACTGAACAGTAGTGATGTTGATTTAGAGTTTACATATTGTACAATGTTTGCCATCAAATTGATGTAAAATGTGTAGAAAATGGAATCAAATTCCAAGAATTGTAAACAAATTATGTTCTTATGATAGTTATAGTTTTAAAATAAAGCTTTTGAAGCTCTGTTGTTGAGAGTTTGAATCAAACAGGCATAATTCCTGGCCAATAAAACCTAATCAGTGATGGGTTTTGGGAACCATACAAGTAATTATTTCCATGCTGTCCTACTATTTTACTTGAGAACTTGTCCTTTGGGTGTCATGAATTATGTAGTATGTGAAATATTTTACCTTTCATGCTCATTGTCATCATCATTGTCACCATCATCATTGTGGTGGCAGGGGTTAAGGTCTGGGCCAGACGTCCACTCCCCATTTAAAGTGATGCATCTCCTGTGGACTTTCCAGGTGTAGAAACTGCTGCATGATGACTGCCTGGTTAGCTAGGCAAGAGGTCACCAACATATGACCTCTCAAAAATTACTGTGCCAGTAGCTGAGTGCTCCCATTGCATCCCTGTTATTACATCATCACTATCATCATTATTAAGATTATCAACCCTTGCCCATTAAAATCATCACTATTAATAACATTATTATTATTATTATAATTATTATTATCATCATCATATCATTAAAGGGTCGATGTACAATTATTGAAAAAGATATTGTGGGCTCAAACTATCTCTCCTTTGCCTTGAAAGTTGCAGCCACTCCTACCTTTCCAGAAAATAACATTTCCCAGAGAAAAAATTGCACAGCTTGCAGTTACAACCTTGATTCTGTTACTAATTTAGATTCTGTTTAATCTTCGTGATGTGTCCGGTTTGAAGGATACTGAGTGTTGCTCCTTAGCTTATGTTGATCCCAACAGAACAGAACTTGGCAATGACGACGTCCTTCCTTTTCCAGTGAGTAAATCATTTCCACCACCATGTGCAGCAAATTTGAATGCAGAGAAGTGGAAAATGATCCCAAAGAGAGGGTTGTAAAGGGAGCCTTCTTATTCTCTATTGGTTTGTATTCTTTTACAAATATCTAGTAAACGCATAATTACTCAATCATTATAAAGTCAAAAGTATCGACGTGAAATACAATTTTATTAATCATTGTAGTGATTAAATGGCTCTCTTTGAAACTATGATATCCCGTCAAAAATTTTAAAAAAAGCTATATACGAAAACTTCCATTAAGTTATCGAATTATAGATAGTGGATTGACCAAAATAGTTGCAGTTCTTTTAGAGGTCGGAACACATGAATTGTTCTGTGACTGTTGGAAATAGCTGAAATTGTTGTGCCAATGTGTCAATGTTTTCGCGAGACATGTTACTGATAGTTGGAAACAGGTGAAATTGTTGCCATGAGTTTTACAAATGGTGTTTTCAAGGTGCGTTATGTTGCAGATGGAAAGAACGTAGAAACCGATCAACTCTTAAGATTAACCCTTCACATCCTAGCATCAGTGTGCATATTCTCCATACCGTTCTCTATACATTTGCTATAGCACTGACAAAGAGAATTTGCAAAACAATCTAGATCTGTGATAATTCCCTTTATTCTCATGTCCCTAATGTTTGATTCAGCTGTGATTCTCAGGAGAAATTAGATGTTGGTCAGTTTAGGGAATAAAAAGGTTAAAGAAGGAGAAAGGAACATGGCGCATCATGTCATTAAAATTGCGGAAACATGTTGAAATCTGTTATGCACAATGCGAGCTAGAGATTTTGGAGACACGATCAAATTGTTTCTTATAGTGTTATAAGTAGGGAAGAGCAAATGAAATACAGTGGGGGCTAAGTCATAGGTGGTGAAAACACATGGAGTTTTGCTGTATGTGGTGATAAAGATAATTAGGCACTGAGAAATTTCGTGTAGCGTCAAAGATTTCACCGCAAGCGGTAGCTAATTTCACTCCCAACCTTTTTGGTGATTTGTAGCGATTCTGTATTTCGTAATCGCACAGTCCAGCAAAGAATGCATATTGCTTTCGCACAATCGACTTTCAAAAACTATTAAATTTACGCCTCAAAACTCTTTACATCCCTCTATTGTAGGGTCCTTTTTGCATGCGATATAATCACGTATGTGTTCTTCGAGATACCTCAGGGGGAACTCCCCCTGTCGAAGCAGCTCGTAATGGAACTCCTCTAAATTAAAATTTCGCCCCAGTTCCCTCTCGGCAATGCCTCTGACGCGGGAAATTTCCATTTGGCCAATCATGTAGCTTGTGACATATCCCGGTACGCTTTGCGAGCGCAGGACGTCTTTCTTTGCCAGGTCAGTATTGTCTTCCCACACGTATTCATTATACATATCTAGCACGGTTATCTCTGGCGTTTGATTAAAATTCAGATCAATATCCACGATGGCACGAAGAGCGGCTAACAGCTGTGATAAAAAGAGAACATTGAAGTTATATCCAAACGTTATTCATTCACGGGCCCTACAATTCACAAAATAGTCCAACTCTTAAATAAAGATTATTCTATGGGAAGTGCGCACGAATAATTTTATTCACGAGTTGCCATGCATCAAAAAGCTAGCAAACGAGATAGGTATTTGATGCATCGTAACGAGTGAATAAAAATCGTTCAAGCACTTTCCATAGTCCATTGTATGTTGTTTTAATGTCATACATACTCATATTTTTTCTTACTGACCGGCACATTTCAAAGACCGGAAGCGGACGACTGTTACAATAAATGTCCAATCAGAGACACGAACGATAGTGCTTCACTGTGTAAATCTCAGTATGTATGTAATAATTTCCGTTTTGCGACAACCGTTCCCAATTTGGTACACTGATAGTAGAGATCAGTCGTCACTCAAACTTGGAACGGGATTTTTTTTATACCTGATAGTAAATCATGCCGTATCTTTGCAGCAATATTTCTTTGTCTTGATTGTCTGAGTAGAGGTTCGTGTCTTGTGGCAGCAGTTGATACTCCACGTAGGTTGTCCAGCCCTCAGTGAACCCTGGGAAAAAATTTGCTTTCTCCAGCCAGTGAATCGGATCGTTGCAGCTGTCTTCAAAATACTCTATGTAACTATGCACCTACACAGATATAAAGGGCGATTGTTAGATTGACCAGAAACAGGAATTCTCCCTACCATACCAGTGCATTTTCAGTGATACAAGAAAAGAGAAAACAGAAGATCGACTTCTAAGACGTGATGAGGTCTTGGGGAATGGGCTTGATTTATCGCCGGGGGGGGAGTGGCGTTAGAGGATTTTGGTGCAGTGACAATAAAATTTACCTGATCCACCCCTTAAGGCTCTGCAGTATTCCTATGATTCCCCACCCCGGTCGTTGATAGTTAATTGGAGGTCGGTTTTCAATAGTCTCCCTTCATACTCTGTTGGCGACGTCGGATCCTCCCCTCCTGCCTTCCTCTCGGAAGACGAGTGCTCCTACCATATTCTCGCCCTTTGAAAAATTTAATCAATTTGTTGCACTTCGCTGAAAAGCCCCTACCTCTAAATGGTGTCCAGGGAGTTGTTCATGGGCTGTGGTCGTAAATTCTGTCCATTTTGGGCCAAAATTGTCCGCGAAAAACGGCAAACCTTGCGTAGCGTTAACCTTGCAGTCTTTAGAGCCTGGCGCATATCCGTGAAAGCGGACATGCGGATGAAACCAAGATATAACATCCACTGGACAGACAGGAACTGTGTTTTTAGGACCACTGCGATAAAATAGTGGTTTGTAGACTGGGCCAATATTGTTTTTCATCGTCTGTTATGATAAACAAAGAAGTTATACACTTTTTATAAATTAGCGCTACTTATCCTGACAAAAATGGTAGAAGATTTTATCTTGGAAATTACGCTTACTTCAACAGTGTTTTCAATCCACTTCTGCATTGCTTTCCACCGCTCAGGACAATACCCCTGTGCGCTCTTGTCGTCATAACATTTTATGTAGGCATTTTCGTCACTCTCATTGGCAGGAAACGGTTTATTGTTAAACGACATGTTGGAATGGCGTAACACGGCTTTGAAGGCGGTGATGGCTGTCCTATTGTCCTTTTCACCAGTATACCTTTTGGCCACATCAACAGCCTTTGGAAATTTAAAAGGATTTCTTAAGTTACTTTCTGTCCTTAGAGACATCTTCATAGTTATCAAAGTTATCATTGCAATAAAAGCATTTATTAAGTTGGATGCTTTACATTCCACTTCAAACTTCGAAGACACCTCCAATAGGTTTCAGGCTAATAACATAAAGATCAAGGTCCTTTCGGTAAGTTTACTGCAGTTGCCATCAATTCGGATTTTTTTGTGTTATCTACTCGTTAAATGACTCCGCGCAATGTATGTATATGCAAACTGATTCAAAATAAAATAGCAAAGAGCGGGGAAGGCCGGGTGACAACTGAAAAAAATCATACTAATTGCGAATGGAAAACTTAAGAGAAGGCTCCATATTTCAAGATTCAAGATGTACAAACTGTGAAGTTAGAAGGAAATCTATGTTTTGCAAGACCGTTTATCAAACCAATGCCACGGTTTTCCCATGACATGTGTTTTGTTATATTGATAAACAGTACACAAAATTTTCATTCCTTGTGAGCGCAGGTATATTTTTCGCCTGAGGGGAGGGGGGCGGGAATCGAAGGATTTTGGTTATGTCACATTACAATTTACCTGATCTCCTCATAGGGCTCTGCAATAT